ACGGCAGTTATCGGTCCGCAAAATTCTGTAACTTTAGGGGGTGTGATTCTTCAGTGGCTGCATGTCATGCGACTCCAACGTAACCAAGAAAGAGAAGAAAGGAAACGAAGATGGAGGGAAAAGAAACTGCTATACGTGAGCTACGAAAAACTAATCTTTAGATTCGACAAAGAATGGGAAAGGAAGGAAATTATATTATCTAATGCACAAGTATAATATTTTGAGGAAAGAGTAAGGATATATTAAATAAGAGTTTCTTAGAAGAGAATTAACTCAAAAATGATTATGCAAAAAATTGAAGTCAGAGACTAACCAATCACTGCATGACTTAAAAGACCAGCTGGTAATAAAAAGATTTACTCATGTCATTGCCGAAGTGAACAGTTCGCGGAGCCATGGACAATGTTAGTGCGGCATTCCCATTTACGTACCCAATTACATTTTTTGTGTATGGCAAGTGGATTTTTCTTATCGTTTTTCGCATTCCTTCACTCACGTTGATTTATATTCTGTTAGCTTTTTTCGTATAATTTTGCTCTGTTTAATTACATTTTGTTTATTTAAGCCTCTCGGTAAAATTTAGCGCTAGAGTATCCGAGTCCTTGAGATCAACGTCGATTATTTTACTGCGATCTACTCTAAGTTTTCCGTCCTTCGTATCCACAAAATCATACAATGTTTGTAAGTGTTTTTCATTGTCCGATTGCTTTTCCTGTGTTGTTTACGTTTCTATTCCTTCTACTTGCATTTTGCAATAACTAGTAATTATTTTGTTCCTTTAGCAACCGCTCTCTGATTTCTATGATTCGTGGGACCAAGTTAACTTGTGTGGGTTGAAATGCGTGGGCGAAACACAATTTAAAGTCGAGGTGCAGTGACTTATTTGGGACGGTTGAGGACACACATGCTATCACTGCCATGTAAATTTCAGCTTTCTGCGGTTTTTTTTTTTTTTGAGAAAAAAAATTACAATAAACCTCGATATATGTGATTCACGGTTATCAAAACAGAAATCGAGTGTATGTTGGTTTGGTCCGAGAGCACGGCCGTTGTTGTCGTGACTTGGCCGTCATGCCGTCGTGGCTTCTGCCAGCTATTGATTTTCTCAGTATTCCAAAAAGCCTTTTTGTTTTTCGTTTCAGCCCATGGATGATCATATCTCCTCCTCGACTTTGTGAAAAAGGACTGTCAAGTAAGGCAGTCTGACAAAGGCTTGTTCAAAAATATGATATCGGTTCAATTTAAAATAGAATCGCATGATCGAATACAATCTCGCATTCTGATTGGTTAAGGAAACGAGGTATTTAGCGTGGAATTGCGAGTTAAAAACGAGGCTAAGTAATATTCTTTCGCATCTACGTAAGCATAACAACTATCGTCAAATTGTTACAAAGTTTGGTTTCTAAGTCAAGTTAAAATGTTTTCAAAACCATTGTCACCTTTTACAGAGCCAAAAACAAAAAAGGCGTTTTTCAAAGTGAGCCTGAGGTTCATCCTTGTTTTGAACTGTATAAATTCTTGGAGAGGCAGGAAAAACCTCTTTCGCTGGCGACAACGCGAAAGCGAGAAAATCCTGTGAACACGGCCCAGAAAAAACAATCTCCGAACTAACAGGTCACGTCAACTGGGGTTCAATATCCACCTACAGCCATAATCGTTTAGAAAAACAACGGAGGATGTCAAGCAAGTTGGCTGGGTTTTCAGTCGTACGACTGTCACAGCTGCCGACGCCAGCGGCGGTCCACGAACTGAAGCTTTGCGAGAAATTAATGTCAACAGCCTGGCACTTTTATCAATGGCAATAACACAACAGCAATTAATAACGGCAGTGATGGTCTAACAGCAAGAGTTCTAGGTGGGCTGTTCACAAAAGTATCGTTCAACAACTCTCCAGTGGATATTTCCATCAACTTTCAGTCAAACTTTTATCCCAACGATTAAGCTAATGGCGGTTGCCTGTAGTGAATTTCCACAGATGAAAAGATCAAAGTTTTTGGACTTTTCCTGAAACACTTCTTTGTTTTTAAAATAATAAAATATCAATCAATACCCGTATTTACACTTCAAGGTACTCACCTTACATCAATCGCGATTTTAAACTTTCAGTGCCTTCGCTTGCATACTTTATTTCTTTCAGTTTTGCCAGCAAATAGGTAAAAGGTGCAAATCGTTTTCCTTCTTGAGCAAATTATTTGGAAATTTGAAAAAAAGATGTTAAAAATAAACGGCTTGTAAATTCAGTGAAATACCACCATTATCCTTTGATGGTGTGAAGCGTGTTTAAAAAGTTTGAAAGCGAATGTAAAAACAAGATTGAAATAAAACATGTCAGAGGTTCAAACGTGTACGTTGACCTTGCTTACTATTCACTAACGCAATGACAGTTCTGACAGTTGACTTCGGGATGGCTTTCTGGAGTGCTCAGGATAAAAACAAACAAAATTGCTGCCGTTTCCTTGGTTTCCTATTTTTATTCAATGGTAAGATTCAAGGAAAATTCATCACCTGACTCGGAAATTCCGCGTTAAATTGCACTTGAAGACTGACATCGCATCATCGCTTGATATAGGTTTTCGCGTGCAATTAAATTCGGAATTTCCTTGTCAAGTAATGTATATTCCTTTAATATTGACCAGGAATTTAAATAAATTCATTTTAAGTGGGTCTGCTTGGCAACCAAACGAATTCTTTATCGAGTTCGGAAAACTCAGATAACAAAAAAAAAATTGTTTCGACCTTTTTTACCTTAAACAACCTTTTATTGTGAACATAAGATCGCGAACTAGACTCCCCTTGCGTTAAAAAAAAAAAACAAAACAAAACAAAACAACACAAAAAAACCGGCGCCCTTCAAATCAAGCAAACAAACAAACAAACAACCGGCGCCTAAAGCTGGTCGAAGTGTGTTCCCAGAATTTATTGCAGAACTACTTCTACTCCCACTAGTATAAGACATTTCCTTTCACCTATATGTGAAAATTGCAGATGAGATTGATAAATATGTTATTCCATCAGTCGCTACTTTCCACGAGGTGTCTATTAGATATCTCACCGGAAACGGATAGAATTTGATAACAAAACATAGCGAGAAAAATACGTGTACGTGCAACACACACCGGTGTGCGAGAATATAATAGAGATGACATGTCTGTCGAAAATTAGATTTGTAATACAGAATTAACTTAGTCACTTCTGTCTCTCTTCAAATTTTGAATTCTGTTCTGCCGTCCCCTTCAGGCATTACAACATGGCCGCCACGAAATAGCTGGCAAGAGAAAAAACTATTCTCTCAATCCTCTCTCTGCCACAAAAGTTTGGCCAATCATGTCAGATGAAATGGTAAGGACAAAACGGCCCGGACTAGTGAAGTAATGTCAACTATCAATACATTTGTCAGATTAATTTTTTTTTTATTCAGTTATCTATTACACTTTGAAAAAGGAAAACTTTTTCAGTCTATCATGATTTGCGACAAACTTTCATCGCCAGATATTGTGGTAGTTTTCCCCCCATCCTTGAAACAAAGGCATACCTTCCATTAAACTTTGATTCATCCACATGCATAACAAAACATATACTTCCCAATTGCTTACAAATATCATAGAAAGCAATATAGAAGATGTCTGTTTTGCCCTCTATCGAAATTTAAGTATTCAAAGATAAAGAAAAGATACTTCGCAACGGTTATAACGCGGTGCTCCGTCTCTGCCAAAAGACTCACCAGATACCTTTCAGAATTTTCAAGCAAACTCTCCGAGCATCGAACTCAAATTCAAGATGTTAGCGGTATCGAAGTACTTTTTCCCAAGTATTTCACAGTGTTTTCATTACTGTATAAAGATAAAGAGATACAAGAGAGGTCAACTTCAAAGATATTATGAGAAAACATTGAGCTCAGTTTGTCTGTGATCACATTAAATGACCGCTTCAAAGAAAACGTACGGAAATTTTCCGAACCGTTGACAAGTGTTCACAGTGATGTGCATCAAAGACGTTAAGTAGAGGAACAAGTATTCACAGAAGATGTAAATCAAGCTACGCGCTTATCATGATATTGTGCCGAGAGCCACTATCCGAAATTATGCCCTCTAGCAATAGTTATAGTTTACCACTAAAGTTTCTCCGGTTCTTATTGGTTTAAATCGATCACGTGACGCGATAGTGTTCATCCGTGGAGAGACACTATCAGCCCATGGTGCCCGCCCGAGGAAAAGACCCGGAGGGATAGTGCCCGTCCGCGGAAAATACCTGGATTGATAGTACTCATCCGTGAAAAGTTTTGAATAGTTTGACGGCCACCAAGTTAGGCAGATCGGAAAAACAGTGACTTTTCAATTCTGACAGGTATAACATATTATATAGCCAATGTACGGTTGCGAATTATTGACATTTGTGACAAGCTGTAGGCGCGGAAGAAAATTTAGTGGTGAACAATAAAAACAATAGAGTGTTTATGTCTCGGAACTATCGGTCTGATAGTTGCCCCTTGGAAATT